GGTGATGGAGGATCCCATTGGCCAAGGTCTTTGCTGGGCACCTCTTCAAGCCACCGCTCTGCCCTTGTGTCCATCCTGGAGGCCTCACAGGTGGGTCCAGCCCCATCTTCCCCTTGAACAACACAACCGTGGCCACCTCCAAGGCCCCTTCCGGGTCTCCCCGTGCTTCGCGGTGGCATCAAGGCCCATGGCTGGCGGTGAGGCCCATTTCGGAGCTGCATGGCCTTCTTTTCCTGCCCTTGAGGGAGTTTTTTGGGGCCATTTCCTCCCATTCCGGCCTTGTCCTCGTCTCCGGGTGGCCAAGACCTTGCAAGGAGGGTGGAGAGACCCAATTGTCCCCATTCCCTTTTCAGGAAGCTCTTTCCTATTCACAGAAAACACTCCAAGCCAAAACCGCACCGTTTCTCCCCAAATTTGGCCCTCTGCCCGGAGGAACCAGCACAAACCAGCACCCGAGGCCTCTCCATCACTCCCTGGTGGCCAAAACCCACTAAAAACACCCCAATTTTGGTGCAAACAAGGGACGCGTGTGTGCCTTGAACCTTGCAACGGGGTTACCCTGAGCCGGGCGGATTCATGGGAGGTGGTTTCAACCCAAAGACCCTTTTTTTCACCCCAAATTCACCTCATGGGTGCCCACCAAAGCCTTAGAGATTGATGTTGAGACAAGGGCGCTCCGAGATTGCATTAATGTGAATCAAATTGATTAAAATTGATTAATTAAAGAGTAAAGAGGCTTGCTGGGCATCTACTTGGTGTAAAGGAGGACTTTTTACCCCAAAGTTACCTCATGGTTGTCCACCAAAGCCCTGGTAAACGGTGTTGAGACAAGGGTGCTCCAAAGGGGGATTAAACATGAATCAAATTGGTTAAAATTGATTAATTAAAGAGTAAAGGGACTCTTTGGTTGCTGACTTAGTATAATTGAGTGTTTTTCAGCCCAAATTTACCTCATGGGCACCCACCAAAGCCCTAGAGATTGATGTTGAGACTAGGCCTCTCCGAGACGGATTAATGTGAATGACATTGATTAAAATTGATTAATTAAAGAGTAAAGGGGGTTGCTGGGTGCCGACATCGTACAAAGGAGCATTTTTCAGCCCAAAGTTACCTCATGGTTGTCCACCAAAGCCCTAGTAAATGGTGTTGATACAAGGGCGCTCCAAAATGGGATTAATGTGAATCAAATTGATTAAAAATGATCAATTAAAGAGTAAAGGGGGTCGTTGGGTGCTGACATAGTGTGATGGGGCATTTTTCACCCCAAATTTACTTCATGGGGGCCCACCAAAGCCCTAGAGATTGATGTTGAGACTAGGCCTCTCTGAGATGGGATTAATGTGAATCAAACTGATTAAAAGGGATTAATTGAAGAATAAAGGGGGTTGCTGGGTGCCGACATGGTGTGATGGGGCATTTTTCACCCCAGATTTACCTCATGGGCACCCATCAAAGC